CAGTACGTGGGAACCATCCTACACCACCAGCTAGAGAGGAATGCAGAGGCCATATGCTCAGACTGATGCTGCTCACTCTCACTCTGCTTAATAATGGAGGGGTATAGAAACTGGACAAGCGAAGGCAGCTAAGACAGCGTGTCTAACCAGGGCTGTCATTTTTGGTATCTGTCCAATGAGAGTAACTTGGGCATGAGGATGTCGTGCTGTTCGTACCGCATCAGCACAACATGGTACTGTGGCCTCAAACCATCAGGTCACACTGAAGCATGTCATAGAACAACGGGACTTTTGTGGGCTCTGAAAAAGTATTGAGACCCATTAGCTTCTCCCAGTCACATTAAGAATAATCCAGGAACTAACAGGGCAAGCTGGAGAGTGGAAGAGAGGAGACATCTTCCTATAAAATATTTGATATGGACCATTGTTGGACACAGGTATCCAGGTAAAAAGACCATTAGTCTGCACTCAGAAGGCAATTTCTAGAGTTTTAATTATTCCATTAAAATGAGACTTGGTTTCCCACAGTAACACCCATTTTGTAAGTACTGCACTGATCTATACTAGGCAATTTCATGAGCCACGTATGAGTTGCTCAGCTCCCATCAATGTACAGGGATGGTTATTTTGAAACCCTTTTTTCCGGCTCTTGCTCATCTCAGATACTCCGGGCTAGTGTCAGCCAGAAATGCCATGTCAGACACACTCTGAAAACTGCGTCACTGTCTAGGTCACGCCAGCTCCTAAGGAACCTCGGAGCAGTGGGCAGGCAGGCTGCTCGCTGCCAAGTGCCGTCGTGTGTCAGTCGCAGAACGTTGAAGGGCAGAGTGGGTAACATGCACCTGCAGGCAAGTGCCTCTCTGGCACTTCCTCAGTTACGGAGACGCTGACTCAGAGCTCCATCCAATCTCTTCGGCTGCTCTGTACAGACCTCTCCCATCTGCTGCAGCATTCTAGCTGCTTAGACTAGATTCCAGCTACTCAGACAGAGATTGCTCTCCTTGCTGCAGGGGGAATACTCTCCTGCTAACAGGATCCAAGCTTGAAAATGGAGTCTGCAGAAGCAGAAGTGTGTGTAATGTACCTTTCCGTTAAAATTCTGATTCTGCCAATCAGGGATATAAATCTAGACTTGCACTTTTAACCAGTTAGGGACTCCTCAACCTTTATACTGGGATGTATCAATACCGTAAACTTAATAAAACACTGGACTGCAGTTGACCTAGATACCCTTCCTGTCTGCATGTCTTGTCATATAGATAATATGAGCCGTTGTTGTATCCATATGGGATGGATGGATCCTACAGATAGATGCACTGAACCTGTCATTCTATTGCAAACAAACCCATAAAACAAACAGGACATTTGCTAGTCACCGCCACGCTTGCATGTTATACCATTTTCTACCACCCTTTTTCTTATCGAGTTAGATTGTAAGCTCTGAAGACTGTCTTACTATGCATCTGTGCAGCACCTGGCACAATACAAATGAGCTTTTGGGTCAGACAGAGGACTGTACATACCTTTCAACAACTGTGGCGGTGATCAGGGAAGGCATAATACAGAAGAGTTTAAAGAACAGTCAGTCAATCTGTTTACACCCTAATATGTACCTTCCTTAAATGTGACCTGAAGCTTATATAAAGCTATTTAAAATCCAAGCTTCACAATAGAATACACATGGGCACTGAGGAATTACAAATCAAAACCAGACACATCCCATTATTATTATTTACTCTGGTTGAGTCCTTTAGGCACTGCTGGGATTGGGGCCCTATTGTGCCAAGTGCGGTCCATACACTCCCTACCCCACAACACTCACAGCCTGAATAGACAGGTAGTACTGTCATCCCCATTTTACAAATGGGGGAACTGAGGCAAAGAGATGCAAAGCCCAAGGTCACATAGGGGATCTGTCATGGAACTAGGAGTTGAACTCAGGTCCTCTGCTTCCAAGTCCAATGCCTCAAGCACAAGACCATCCTTCCACCCCATGAACCACTGTACTGAATCATTGCACTCCAGAAAACATGCCCATAGCATTTTGGGGCATTCCAATACCGAAGAAGATGAGAATGCTTGGCTTATGGTGACACGTAAGTATGAGCATAAGTGATGGCAAAGTCGTTTGCTGAAGAGCGAGCTGGTTTCATTTTACTCCCACTCTCCATGCGTAACTGCCACCCAGTGACAGTTTAGCACTCTGCATCTGTGCGAAATGCTCACTGCCTCCCACGCTAATGGAACATTCCGTTTAAATCCGTCTAATAGGATAATTGAGACTGCACCGTGACTGATCCACTGTTACTATATTCAAATGTCAGCATCTCTAGAATCTTTGTGACTTCAGCCTTCACACTAACAGCACGTTATGCCTGGCGGGGTGAGGATGCTGGGCCTCAGGAGATCTGGGTTTCACTCCTGGCTCTGCCACAGACTGCCTGTGGTAGACAAGGCCACACAGAGTAAAGGCCTCACATGGGCCGTGTGACCTTGGACAAGTAACTTCATCTCTGTGCCTCAGTTTTCCCATCTGTAAAATGCACCTATTACCTTTGCAGAGATGACTCAAGGCTTAGTTATTTAGACATATAAAGGACTAAATGTCACTTTTCGTTCCCAAAGTCTTCAAACCACAGGGAGCTAGCAGTTCTGTCAAGTAGAAAGCATCCTGAAACCAAAAGCAAACAGAACTAAACCACTCGAAAATAAACCCATCAAGCCTTGGCCTCCAGGAGTTCTGCTAACCAGCTTACAAAGGATTTGTCTAGAGGCAAACGTCCTTATATTAGCAGGCAATCTATTGACTAGCATCTGGCATCAGGGCAATCCTGCTAAGATAGACTGTGATGGTGCTGAGAAGCACACGCACATCTGGCATGTTAGTGCTGTTCGCACATCTCTTTGTAATGAACATTGCTGTATTGTTTTAACAGGGGCTGTACAGAGTCAGCATGGAGGGGAAGATGCGGAAAGCTCCTACCACAGCAAGCAACATGCTTCATTAGCCTGGGATATGTTTTGCCAATTTCCATAGCACACACGGCCCTGGCAGTTCGCTTCACAAATTAGCAAGGACAGAAAGCGAGTGAAAAGAATCAGTCCAACACTGAAGAAAAGAGGGCCGTACACTTTGCCTTTCACACTAGGCTGGTTGTGAAGGAGCCTCCAGAGGACTGGATTCCTCTGTTTAGAAAGCACCACCACCATAATGGTGCATTCAAAATTTAGGAGCCAACTGCAAGAGCCTGCCAGCCAGTCTTAACTGCTGTGACAAGAGGCAGGATGAGCGGCTGTTTTGGATAACCAGGTCCCAGACCAGTTGTACAGTAATATACCAGCTGTACATTAGGAAAGGCACAAGGGGCCACTACCGTCATGCAGGAATCCAGACATAGCAATGGGGCCAATAGGAACCCAAGGCTGCAAACCATTCTAGGGAATGGTGCATACATCCTCCATCCATGGACACACTTCAACCCATTCATCTAAATGTTTCCCCCCTTTTCTCACCATCTGTGTCAGCTACTAGGAAAAGCTAGAGTCCTACTTCAGTAGTAAGGGCACATGGAACATACTGGGGATGTTCTGACCCAAAAAGGCTCAGTCTTCCCGAGCAGCTACACAGCCACTGAACAAGATGTGACAAGATGAACCCATATGTGGGCCTCTGGGCTGAATGACCAGCTGCTAAGTGTTTCCCTCTGAAGTCTCCCAGAGCAAGGTGCAAGCCCACCCAAGGGCCATTCAGCTCATTCCTTAGAGATCGGTAGCTGAGTCAGAAATATCACACTAGGAGTAGTAGCAAAAACCACCCAGCTATAGAACCAGAGCCCTTACCTTTATCCACCATGATGGGGATGGCATCACATAAGGTTGATCAGCCTTTTTTGAACTACAAAATTTATCAAAATTTCAAAGGAAAAAAATGGGAATTTTTTTTCAAGAGATTCCCTCCCTCTACCCTCCACTTTTTAACCAGCTCTAATCACACTTATCTACATAGTCTCGGTCCCATACACAGATCTCATGTCAGATTGAGAAGGATCAGAGAAACCTATGGAATCGGCTCATCGCCACTTTATTAATAATATTCCCTCACCATGGGAGTTTCTAAGCAAAATGGTATTTGGGGAGGCTGCGAATATCCAAAGATGGTTCCTTAAACAAGGGCCTAACCAAGCACAGCTGGCTGCTTGCCCTTTCACAGGCATTGATAGCTTTTACCAACAACAGTCCCATTGGCTTTAAGAATCAGCTGTGAAGGATGCAGCTCTGTCTTACAGGTGGCTGCTCAGGGACCCACGCGCAAACTCCCCTTCAGTGAAGCAAACACGGTGGGGAAAAAAAAAAAAAGGATGTAAACAGCACAGATGGCATGTTTTTTCCTCTCCTTCTGACACTGTTCTCATGCCCATGGGCAAGAAATAAACAAATTTTACTAGATTAAAAGAATACTTAGACTGAAGCAGATTTTGATTATTTCTGGAGTACGGCAGTGAATGTAGAAGATTGCAATGGAAGGAAGAAGTCTGTGCCCCGAACTCACCCTAAAGAGAAGTTCCTCTAAAATCAGTGGTGCCCAACCTTATTGCACAGGAGGGCCATATAAACCTAAGCACACCCTTGTGTGAGCCAAACAGATTCTACATATTTTAATAAGACTTAAAGTCACCCATATTGATTTATATTTTAAGTTCAGCTTGTTTCATATGTATTTATATAGAAACAACCTATGTACAGTATTGTTTATTTAGGCAGTTGTGTAAACTAAAATGTAAACATGACAAAACACTAACGAATCGGCTACTAGTATATTGCACTGAAGCAGGCCGCAGGCCTTATGAAATGCCCTAGTGGGCCATGTATGGCTCGTGGACCCTGCTCTAAATAATCCATGATCTCACACCGGAGCCCCAACACCTCCCACCACCTGATGCCAGAGGTTGCAGTCGAGCGTTCAGCTGTAGGAGGAGACGTAGAAGTGCAACATCACTCACCGCCATGACGAGCTCAAAGGGATATTTGTAGACTCGAACAGGGGACTGGTACTTCTGCACCATTTTTAAACGCACACCTGCAATGGGAAGGGAATAGTGGCTTTTAGATTTTTACACTGAACACTTCAACTCTAATAAGCATCATCATATATTTTGCACCTTTCGTCACTAGACCTTAAGGTGCTGTGCAAAAGGAGGACAGTATCATTATCCTCATTTTACAGATAGGGAAACTAAGGCACAGAGGGGTGAAGTGATTTGCCTAAGGGTCACCCAGCAGCACAGTCAGGAATAGAACCCAGGTCTCCCTTGTCCCAGTGTAATGCTGTACCCACTAGGCCACACTGTCTTGCATATAAGCAGTGCACATTTCTGCTTCTCAACACCATTGCTGTGAATCCCACTTAGAGCTTAAATGCAACTTACAACAGCAGCACAAGTTCAGAGCATGAGACAGATTTCTAAGTCAAAGAGCTGCTAGACCATACCCTGGGAGAACGAGACCCTTAGGCAGCTCACCTAGCCTGAATTCTAACTTGTGTCTTCTACCCGATGTCTCATACCACCACACAAATCCACAGTGCTGGAACAGTTACACCTGCATCTCCTTGTCTGGCACGTGGGATTTAAAACACCTCTTAACCCACCTGATTAAGAAAGCCAAAGGAGGCAGAGTGCTTACAAAACCTGCCCACCACTTAACTAGGAATCGCAACCCACTGACAAAGGACAACGCCAACTGCTTACAGTGGAATGAAGGAAAACAACTGCCTCAGTTACAAACAGTACAGACTTCAGCACTTCCTTTATCCAAGTCACCGCTCACTGATCCCATCAAAATCCCTCCGCTGGGGTTTTAACCCTCAAACACATGCCAGCAACTAGCATCCCGAGAGAATACATACACCCTTAGAAAAAACTTGTTACAAGGCTTTCTGCAACTCCTTCCCCTGCTATTAATACCAAGTGTCTGAGAACACAGAAGAGAGGCTCTGGGTCTGAGAATCCATGCTGCTCCTACCCCACTCAAATTCCAGTGCTGTGCAGACACTGAAAGTACTGTCGCTCAGCACTGAACTCAACGGCTAGGACACAGAACTACTAATCCCTGCTTTAAGCCAAGGATTGGAGGTGAAACGGAGCTAAAAGGCTCTAAGCAGCAATACACCCACCAGCTTCAGGAAGATTTAGACAAGAATGCCACTTTACCCTCTCACAGGGGAAGGTCTAAGCATCTCAATATTAGGAGGGGGGGTAGGGGGGATTTGCAAAGAGAACAGCCTATCACAGTTCAGACACTTTCAAAAGTTTGAGTACCTGAATAAAGTTTGGGGATGGCTTGTAGTAGGAGAGTCTCACATTCAGCCAGACACAACTCTTTAGGTCCATACGACAGGTTCAGGGCTCAATGGATCTTAGAGAAACAGCATCAGCATTGAAATCGAATAGAGGCAAGCCCAATAGTGTGGAGAGACTCCATCACCAGGGCACCCGATACCAGAGGAAAGCAAACAGGGCGAGGGCAAATGAGCACCCAGAAAGCTAGGCTGATATCATGTAACAGGTACCAGAGCCAAAAGGAGTACAGGGCACCTTGTAACATAAGGCTGTAATTTGATTAGGTAACTGTGATACCTGGCCTGTGCAGGGACCTTCTGGGTAACATAGTGGAAGAATCCTAGCAGCCAAAGGTATTTAGCCGTGATCCGGTTAGCACTCGCTGATCTAGCTCCCGTATACGAAATCCATGCCCTCTCTCTACAGAGGGGGCAAAGAGTTCTCCAAGGAGAAAGCAGCAACCCAGAAAAGAGCAGTCAGTCTTAATCTGTGTCCACGCTAGAGAAATGAGCCATTGCTAACTGACCAGCGGAATGGCACCAGCATGAGGTCCAACAAGGCAGCATAACAGTAGCCATGCTGTTTTAGGTATAGTTTTGTTTTGCCTGTACTTGCGCTGTACCACACTGTTACAAAGTTACTACCCCCCTGGGTGCCTATTCCACAATTCCCAGCCAAACTCCCTGCAGCAGTGGCTTGAGAAAGAGTTTGAAAGGTCTAGGAGCCAAGGGGGGCTGTGGGAGAAAATATCAAACTCAAAATGCCCTGGAAAATTCCCATCACTCCCAGGGAAAAGGTGCTGGCACAATTTCCATCTTCAGAAAAGCTCTAGGAATTCAGGATGAATGCCCACCTTTCACACAGCCAGAATGGCTTCTGCTGAAGCTTCTAGACAGTACTCATGAGACATCAAAGATAGCAGTGGAATGTACCTGAGATAGAGACTAGCAGTTGAGGAATTTCATGCTGCACCATACATACAACTTCCCCCCTCTGGACAGCACTTAGCACTATGTTCACTGGATAAAGCTTAGAGAGTGGGCGCAGACCATGGCCACGAACTAGTGGGCTAGAGTTGTTCTTCAGACCTGGGACAAGCAGCAATGGCTGCAGAACTTCAGACAGAAGGAGACTTGTACAACCTTCTGTGGTCAGATAGTACAGACATTGCAGCCCCTGAACTGCCCAGATGACAGCACTGTTCCTCATGGAAAACACCATAAGATCCTCCTATAGAAACCCGACCTACCTAGTTACTGGTCAGTTGGCCCAGTTTAGGGTTCAGAAATCTGTGGTGGCAGATGTCACCATGAAGGTAGGTATGCAGGAACACTACATAATGCCTTGTACGGGCATGTTACTGAGATGACCAGTATAGCAGAGATCATTGAAGAACTTTTCAGCAGCGGATTTCCCAAACTGTGCAGGAGCTATTGATGGAACCCATGTGCCTACTCTTGGCCAGTCTCCAGGAATACATTAACCAATGGATACTACTCAGTAGCGGTGCAAGTCTTAAATGGATCACCTGGGCAAGGGCCCAGCTATGTAGAGAATGGCTCAGTGACGTGCCCACGGCCAATTTTTTTTTTTTCCAGAAATTCATGACTTTGAGGGAAAGGGACTATATTCCCACTGAGGAATATTAACAAAGCCTCCATCTCTACAGTGATTCTAGGTGAGCCTGTCTACCCACTTTTACCATGGCTCATGAAGTCATTCCCAGATTACACAAACCTTAGATAGTGGTGAATCAGCTACAGATTCTGCGGGGGACAACACGGTGATGGAGTGAAGCTGGAGATGTCCTGACCCACAACAGTTTAGTAACTAATGTAGCAATATCATCTGCCTGCTGCAATTTGAACAAGTAAAAGAAAAGGGGGTCCTTAATGAGCAGGGAAGTGAGTAAGCAGTAGGGCAAGCAGCAACCTGTGCATCAAAAGGCAAGCTATTGCAACTGGGGCTGTTACTGATTAGCCCAGCCTGCAGACAGCATGCTGTTCAAATTAGAACTATTCTGTACCCTGCGCTATACAGATGGGGGAACTGGGGGAAAGAGCCTGTAGGTCTGATTCTAAATAAAATGCTAACATCTAGCTTACAATTTTTATTATTCCCATGACAGCTTTTTCTTTTATCTTTGTATAGGCAAAAAGATTTTATGACGTGTAGCCAGATGTGAAATTCCCATCCTGTGTTTCTATACAGGAACTACAATAATGTAAGAGCACAAGTGCAACTAAAAAGTCAATGGGACTTGTGCTCCCAAATCACTTACACACTCCACTGCAGCACTTACTTCTGGGTGGGATTTCAAGAGTGCTTTGGGGAGTAGAACACGTTGAATGGTTTCCTGCAGTTATTTCTCGTTGTTCAGCAGCGATTTGGCTTAGAGTTGGAGGGACATTGTCGAGGACAAAAAACTGTTGAGCAATCGATATTAAAGGGTGCTACTTGTCTGATTTTTTCTGGAATCTACTGTATTACACATACAATGACCAGCTGCAGTATCAAACCAGACTAGCATTTACAGTAACTAAAACCATAGTATTTTACAGAAAGAAGTGCATGTTTGGGGTTCTCATTTTCCTTGCCCCATTCCTGTGAAAGTGGGGAATGCCTGAGAAACTACTGGAGAGTAGGGGGAAGAGCAACAATAGTGCTGTCCTGGCTAGCACATTTGTATTGGCAGGAGCCAGTTGCTGGATCAACTATGCAGTCATGTTTTCTTGACCTCTTAAGTTCTCTCATTGGAACCATCTGTTCTCATGTCTCTCCTTCCTCGCCTTCTGGAAATCTCTGGAGATTCTAGAATCTTCTGCCTAAAGCTGTTCTGTCCTCCAGAAGTGAACCTCATCCTCATAACCAAAGCATTCGATCAGAATCCCTTTTCCATCTCTCGATGACAAACAATAGGACTTTCCAGCTTCTCTTTTTTCCTGGATCCACCAACCATTCCACCAATTTGGATCCTGTCCACCTGCCTCTACGCCTATTGAGCAATATGGCCATTACAATGAAAAAAATAAGTGACAGGGTTATTAACCTAGCAATATCTCATCCATTCATTGGAATACCAAGGGATGCAATAAAATTATGCTGCAAAAGTGGAGTGGTAGAAAGGAAGGAGGAGTGGTGGAGACTAGCAGAACAAGGGAGAAGCAAACACTTCCAGCTAGGGTCTCAAGATAAGCCCCCGTTGAGACCTAATACAATGCAAATCTGCATACTTGGCATAGAAGGCTGCTCATACCCAGGTTTCTTCTCCTGCCAAACTGGCTTGAATGCCATTTCCACAGTGTGTCTGGATCCTGGGATTTCCCAGAGAGATCCTGGCAACATGTTGGGAATCTCTCAGGCTGGCAACTCCCATGCCAGCTCCTCATTCCTCTTGGGCACCCGGTTCAAAAGGTGGCATTCGCACTACTGCATTGCAAGTAGCCTCCATGCTAGCTAGTAGCATAGGAGGCTGCATGGAAGGTCCAACAATTCAGTCCAGCTTAGAGAACAGATACATTTTACATGCAGAGCTGGACCTACTTTTGTTGTCCCAGGCTTTATTGGAAGGAACTCTGGTTCCAATATTTAATCTTTTCACAGTACCGCTCGCTGTTCTGATTAAAGCCCATACCCCCAGTTACACAGCACAGAGCTCCTTACAGAGTTCAGCCTCTCCCGGAGCTCATCTCCCCAGATGGCCACCAGCACCTGCATGTCAGCCTCAGGCCAGCTGGCAGCAGGCTTCTAGGGGAAAGCGCTAGACATGCTAGCAGATGAAGTTGATCACTGGCCAAACAGCATACAACTGAGTGCCATGGTGTGTGCGGTGCTATTTGTACAGCTAAGTGGCTTCAAACAAACTTGGCCCTGGTGTAGTGGAGTTCACAGAGTGGAACTGACAGGCTGTATAGACAACGACTGATGCATTAAGAAGATCTACTACACCACTGGGACTGTTATGCAGGCACCTCCTGTTCACAAAGGCACAGCACCAGTGGAGAAGGGGCTGAATTGGAGCTTTGAGCAAGGCTCACCATTGTATCATCTTCAAACAGTTTCATAATATAGGCAGACGTTCTTATTGCTGCACAAGTCATAGATTCAGTGTGTTACCAGTGTGCTAAGGGAACCCAAACTACTAGTATGCCGAGCCAGAGAACAGTCAGGCCTGGTTTAACCCTGCACTAAAGCCAATCAAGGTGCACACAGGAGCTGAGCCAAGTATATCAGTACTTTTATAGTAACTTGCAGGGGCCAGTCTTTGAAGTTAGAAATATTTGGGCCTTGTTTTCAGAAACCCACAGTTCTCAGTGACATCAAATGGAGTTGTGGACAACCTGCCCTTTTGAAAGTCCTTTGTTTAAAAATATTATTTAAAAGGTCATTTAGTAAGACCCACACAAAACCAGAGCTTAGCATTCCATCCACTGAATTCCATATTACATTTAAATGCAAGACAAACTTCTTCAGTATTGCCTTCTCTGATATAAAAACAGAGTGTAACATGGACAACAAAACAAAACAAAACAACCCTAACACCATCAAAGAAACCCTACCAAAACACACCTCTGAATTAACACACAATTTGCACCTGGAGAGAGGAGGAGAAAACACCACAAGAAAGGCGTTCATCATCTTGCTTAATACACTACTGGAAGATTATTACTCCAATACCATGGTGATGAACATAGAATAAGAAGCTATATAGAAAAGAGTTTAATGATATCCATGATGAGGCTGGGGCAGACATGCCAATGTTAGCTCCCTGTTCATTTCAAGCCCAGGCAGAAGGGAAGAGACTTTGAAAGGATAAGACTGCTAAGGGAAAAAAGTTGTTTTCAAGCTTTTAAAAAAAATCAGAAGGCAAGAGAAGTTAGATATGGGAACCAGAAATAGAAGGCAACTAAGTACTTAGTCTTTTTTTTCCTAAATGAATTTTACAGTGTAAAGTGATTTACTGCAAGATAGAAGAGTTTTCAGGCTTGTCAGTTACTCATCACCACTCCAACAGCTTTACTCCTCTCTCCACTCCCCTGAGGCTTCTAACTAAGATCTTCTCCAACTTCTCCCATCAGCAAGACTGACATTTTTTCATGTCTCCTTCATTCCACCCACTAGTCCCTTCCCTGAGCTATACTCATCAGCACATCCCCACTCTCCTACCCACAGACATAGTGCCTGCACCAGGCAACTTTAGAGAAAAAAATCCCACCCATGCTACTGCTTGTTCAGTTGCACCAGTGGAGCCCTAGTACATGCAAGCCTCTGGTGTTCTATCAGAGAGCACAAGATATACCTGTCCAGCACCACTGACAGAGTCTTGCCTTAGGGCTGCCAACTTGCAGCTGATGCAATGGGAATTTTCTTCTAAGCTACTCTAGAGTAGCCTTACTATGAAGTCTTCAGCATCTAATGGGCAGAAATCAAATCCCGGTTGGTTCAAGTGAGAATAGACCATTATTAACTTCTTCCACATCATACAGCAGTTTACCCCTATCCATTGTTACGAGTCTGGAACTACCAAAGGTTGTGGGACACACTGGATCAGCAGGTATCAGCACAGTTCAGGATTTAAGTGCATTGGGAAGGCTCCATGGGGTCCCACGCAGGAGAAGTTAGGAGAAAGGGTGATATAGGTCAGCATTCAGGGACATTAGCGGAGTTATGTGGGAGCCCAGGACAGGATTAATACAGGGGGTTGCAGGCCAGGTTGAGAAGCATCAGCAGAGCTGCGTGAGGGCTCACGACTGGAGCGGCGGGTAGTAAGTTTCCAGACTTTATGGTTGCAAAGAAAAGCTGCTCGATGGGACCCACAGAAGTGCCGTCTTCCTGAGGCAGTGCCTGAGCTGCTGCTTAGCACCTAACTTTACCTAGCTGCTGCTCTCTGGGTAACTCACCTGAAGAAGAGCGCTGTGTGGCTCGAAAGCTTGTCTCTCTCACCAACAGAAGTTGGTCCAATAGAAGTTATTACCTCACCCACCTTGTCTCTCCAGTTTTACAGGGGCTGTTTAGAGCCCTGTGGCCAGCAGCGAAATTGTTCAGAGTCCAATCAATTCCCTACTGCTGCGCAAAGCTCAGAGCAGCAAGGAAGGCTGGCACTGGAGTTACACAGAGGAAGAGATTCCCTCCGCCCTGCCCCTCACCCAGGAAGAGGGGGCTGGAGCGGACATGAGCCTCACGACAGGGGATGCGGCGGAATGGTCCTTCTCCCCAGCTGGGTGAGGCGGTGAGCAACAGCAAGCAGGGTCTAGGGCCAGCAGCCCAGTCTAGCCCCCGGGACAGCTCCCCGCCCTGGAGCGGCAATAGGGAGCTAGGGGGCGACTCCCCAGCGTTCACCCCGCTCTCCGGAGGGAGGGGCAGCTTATGGCACTGTCCCTGGCCCTGCCAGGAGAGCCCGGGGCGCCGCGGCGGACAGCTGGGATGCACCGCCTGCCAGGGTAGAAATAGCCAAGTACGGAGGGAACCGGAGCTCCGTCCCCACGGGATGCACCAGAGCCGGGGCTGGCCCGGGATAGCAAAGCAGAAAGGCGGGGACGGAGGAGATGAGCCACCCGCATAGGGAGGGAAACTCTGAGGATGCGCCGGGGCTGGCCGGCGGGCTGCGGGGGAGCCGGGCCGGGTGCGTGGGAGGCGGGAAGCTGAGCTGCGGGGCAGCTGAGCCGGGCAGCGGCAGGGAGCTGCGGGGGAGCCGAGCCGGGTGTGTGGGAGGCGGGAAGCTGAGCTGCGGGGGAGCTGAGCCGGGCAGCGGCAGTGAGCTGCGGGGGAGCCGAGCCGGGTGTGTGGGAGGCGGGCTGCGGGGGAGCTGGCACGGGGGGAGGGGGGCGGCAGGGAGCTGGGGGTGCTGCAGTGGCTGGGAGCCGGCCCCACTCTGCGGCACTCACCCTCACACCGCGTCGCGGAACAGCCGGACCGGATCCATGGCGGAGGCAGTGGCCCGGCCTTCTGCTGCCGCGGCTGTTCTCCCGGTCACCGGCATACAGCAGCCCTTCAATCGCCGCGCCGCCAGCGCCCCGCCCACTACACAGAGCCCCGCCTACTGTGCCAAACAGCCCCGCCCACTGCAGAGCCGGCCCACTTCATAGCCCCGCCCTCTGTGCCGCACAGCCCCGCCCACGACACAGAGCTACGCCCACTGTCCCTCACAGCTCCAGGTATAGTTAAGACTGCCGATTTATTATTATTTTCATCCAAAATAAGGCACAGTGACCCTGAGTGCAGCAGAAGTGGGGGTACTAGGTGTACCACGACTGCTCCCTGCTTTTTATTAAAAAATGCCCTCCTGCTGGCCCTGCAGAGGGGCACTGCCCCCTTCCTCCCACAAGAGCATCCTCCACGCCAGCCCCACAACTCCATTCCTGCCTGTTGAGGCTGGTGGGGTGAGTAGGGGCTGGTGAGCAAGCTCACCTTGCATCCACATCAAGCAGCAGGAGCTCCTGCAGCTCTGGTCATGAGGGGAGGGGAGGGGGAAGGCCATCCTGAGTAGCAGTGCGGTACTGCAGCCCTCCACACCTGATCGTCATGCCAGGAGCAGGATGCTGGGCCCAGCCCCGTGGGAGAGGAGCTGTGCTGCAGGGTAAGTGCAGCACAGGCTTGATCGCCAACTTCCACCCCCAGGAGCTGCCCTCCTCCCAGAGCTGGGGGGCAGGCTCACTCTCCAGCTTCCCCCCACCATCTCCCGCCCCTCTGCATGGGGCTGACGCCTGACTCTTGTCCCCCTGTAACTAACCTGCAGCCCTAGTCATGGTACCACCTAGAGCACCATCAGCTACCCTGACCCCATTTGCACCACCCAGCCCCCCACCCTGCCTCAAGTTCTACCAAACAGCTGCCCCCCCACACACCTGAAGTCCTGCTGCGACCTACAGCCCAGCCTAACAGCTCCACTCCCTCCAGTATTATGTTTGGGCTACTGTGGCCCAATGCTGCACGTGCTAGTAGGGCTGAGGAGTGAATGTTCTGTAATTAACAACATGTATGACCACATACACAGGCCTAGTTCTTATTACAATTTATATACTGTATTCGCTGAGAAATAAATGTAACCCCCTTGGAGTTTAGAGAGCACAGCCCCATTCAAACATTGTCCTGAGGCAGAGGGAGTGCTGATTTCTCTAGGTCTAGGATGAGGAAGTGCAGGTTGTATCAGGGGAGTGGAGAGAGGGAGAGTGACCAGGTGTGAGTGTCTTGAGCTCCAGCCATAAGGACCTACAGGAAGCAGACCCTCACAAAGGGAAGTAGCGGCGAACCAGCCCGAAGCCTGGGAGGTACAGAGCAGCCGACCAGCGATGCCCCAGGACAGGAGGAGCACTGTGCCAGGGAGAAATCACCAAGAAAGACAAACTGAAGCCAGACCCAATATCACTGTTGCCCAGAGCTGCATGGAGCTGTGAGTACTGGAGCTTGTGACCTTGCATTAGGAATAAGGAGGGAGACTATTGTGGGAGGTTATCATAGAAGACGACACTGGAGGGGTTTGTTGAGGAAAGTTGACTGGCGGCAACCACAATCAGGAGCACCCAAGACTCACTGCTGGATTGGAACTCTGCCAAGGATTCCTCAACTCTGAGTGTAGATGCATTGCTTGGTGTCTGCCCTTTCAGACTGTGGCACCACGGGGCCTTTCCCCAACAAACTCCTCTGGGAATACCCAGGGAAACAGGGAGCATCAAGAATGTATCCAGAGAGCAGCAGCAGCAGGGAAATTCTATAATCTGTCCTAGAAGTTTTTGGTTAGACGTTGTATTTCAGAATCCAGTGTAGAAGGAAGGTCCCTGTACTACAGAAAAGTAGCATTCTGTGGACAACCCCCTCCATATTGTCACACTAAGCCCTTTTCCATCCTCCTTTCACATGTGCTTAATGATGATCCAGAGAAAATCAGTCTTGTTTAAACATTAAACAGCCTCTTTAAATATTAAACTGCAAAGTGCACCTGGTTGTTAAAGCTGTATTTAAAGCAGGTTGGAAGCGAGTTTCCATTCTCCAGTATTGGGCTTCCATGCACCTGGTGTCACTCAATGGCGGGGCACTTTTCAGCACATCAACCAGCATCATGAGGCTCAGAAATGCTAGCTGACTCCAAAGCATTTTTCAGGGACATTTAACTTGAGGATGAGAAATGGTTCTCAGCTAATAAACTTTCCAATTTTTAATCTAGCGTCATTTAACAAAAAGGCAGCAATCAGTTTTAGTGGGTTTAGGAGTAAGCAAAAGCTTCCCCAACTAGGAATGTGCCTGACATGATTCATTCTGGGGGGATTTCTATAGAGAAATATTATTATTATTATTATTATGCCCCTTTCTAGAAAAGCTCTCGTACTAGACTCTCAAACCCACTTACTGTGCTTCGCAAACACTGATGATCTAGCTTCACAACACCCCAGTGAGGTAGGTCAGTATAATTATCCCCATTTTACAGATGTAGAAACTGAGGCACAAAGGGATGAAGTGAGTTATCCAAGGTAAAAGACAGAGTCAGTACCACAGCTGGGAAGAGAATCCAGATCTCGAGTCCCGACCAACCACTAACCCAAATTATCCCTCATACAACAGCCTTACCTATCCCATCACAAAATATTGTATCAGTGATTCTTTACCGCACATATCTGCATCACTATTGATCCTTCAAGATTTTACCCTTGGTACCTGGCTGTGCAGCCTCTTTTGTAGCTGTTAAATATTTTTGCTCATATCTTTTTTGTTTTGTTCATTAGGAAAAACAAAACAAAAACAAATAAGCAGTAAGAACTGAATCTTCTGTCATGCTTAAGCAAAAATGCACAGATCTAGGGAGTAAGAAACACCAATCTAGTGAGATTCAAACCCACAGCCTTCCAGGCCAAACTCCAGCCATTTTCATTTTGTTTCAATGTGTGATTGCAAGTTTGTGGTTGCAGTGCACTGAATGCAATCTAGGATTATGTTTTAATAACTTTAATGGGACAATATGGGCTCCCCTCTAGTGGATAACCCTTGTTATTTTTCACTAGTTTTAACTGCAGGTTGTAGTCCAATGCATTATAGGGCTTCCTCATCTTTATTGTAAATGCTCCTCCTTATTTCCATTAGAACATTTTGGGACCCCAGTTACATGGTCATAACAGCCACTGACACCAAGAGATCTTTTAGATACTACAGTGGTAAGTTTTACAGAGAATTCTACAATAGTGTCATACCAATTGCAACGGAAGGCAGAATTAGGCGCTTTATGGGAGTGCTAGAACAGGCCCTGTAAAAATAAGATGCATTTCAGTTAGGTGCCCTTTCAACTGGCTTCTGTGCACATGCTATTTGTTTCTTTTTGCCTTTCCCATTTTGTCTCCTGGTTACTATGGGAAGATGTCAGTGTTTCTGCTCTGCTTTCTGCCTCTAACCTAATACCATATGCGTAACAGTAACGCACGACAACAGTTTTGTTATCCTAGCAAAAATCTACATCAATTCTGGCAGCATTATTCTCCTCAGATCTTAGCTTTCAACGTTTCTCTGAAAGGGTAGTGGCTAGTAACAAGGCTAATAGGAGACTGTCCTTAAAGCAATCTCAAAAGGGACATGACTTGTGCGATGAGATACTGTCAGAAAACAATGGGGTCAGGCTAAAAAATGGGCTCTTTTGAAAAGCATGTAAAAGTCTTCCTGAAAGGGTCCTGACTGTGGGTACAGGAACCCGGGGGATTTATTTTCCCAAATAGATTGCTGAGAGTATAGAATCCTCTAGTGTTCAGAGGCTAAAATGTGAAGGGTCTTCTTGTAGAAAGCGGGTGGGCAGAGGGCTGTAGCTATAGTCTTACATTTTCATGGATATTGGGTAGAGGAAATGAATTGTACTGGATTAGTGTCTGTTTCCTTCTCTCTCCACTTATTTGGTTAGGTCATACAATGCTTTCAATGCAACACTTTGCTTTGCTGTGTTTTCTTTGCCCAGACCATCATGCAGTGTAATATATTTGTACAATTCTTATCTTCTTTCATTCTCATTAAAATGAAAGTCACCTTACCATGGGGAGAGCATCCCAGGTATTAGAGATTGAAAGGAACTAGTAGGTCATTTAGCCGAAAGTCCACCATCTCTTACAGCATGCTGGCTGTTTACTTGGCTGCTGTCCTCTACCCCAGAGCTGGCTGCATTTTAGTGGTGAAGTGATTTTTGTATGTATATTGTTTGTAAAGTGCTTTAGGAACTTTTTGGACAAAAAGTCACAAACAAATAAGTGAATACAGGTGTGACGGTGCACTCCATATTTTTATAAAAATATGTTTATAAGTGTGGATATGATGTAACTGGAATATACTTTATGCAAAAGGTCTCTTGTAAGGTATCATTACAAAGCTTATAATCTACCGTGTCTGTTCATCCTATTTGTATGAATGTATCATTTTTGTATCTGAAACTAGGAATATGAAATATAACAGAGGTCCTATTGTAATTATGCAAAGTGTGGGCCATTAATGGTGGTTTAGAATCTTGGTGGCACCCATTGACAAGGACAATTGGCTGTAGATGGTTTATTTACCTGCAATCCTTCTTGTGGACATGGGGGCCAGACTGTGGGTAATGAAGAATGAGGTCTTACAGTGACATGTGACCATGTCACCTGATACTGGAATCCATCTTAAATCTGGTGCTTTTCCATTTAGAAGGAGGGGTGGGAACCCAGAGAGACAAAGGATTCCTGCCTTGCGCCAAAGCTATAAAAGGGAGTGGAACAGAACAAAGGTGGCCAGTCATGAGAAATTCCCTAGTTACCACCTGAGCTGGAACAAGGACTGTACCAGGGGAAAGGATTGGGCCCAGACTAGGAAGGAGTCTTGTCTGTGAAAGAAGCTTATTAGAACATCAGAGGGTGAGATTTACCTGTATTCAGTTTCTTAAATGTATTAGGCTTAGACTTGTGTGTTTTGTTCTATTTTGCTTGGTAACTTACTTTGTTCTGTGTGTTATTACTTGAAATCACTTAAATCCTACTTTTGTACTTAAAATCAAACAAAATCACTTTTGTTTATTAATGAATCCAGAGTAAGTGATTAATACCTGGGGGAGCAAACAGCTGTGCATATCTCTCATCTGTGTTATAGAGGGCAGACAATTCATGAGTTTACCATTTATACGCTTTATACAGAGTAAAACGGATTTATTTGGGGTTTGGAGCCCATTGGGAGCTGGGTGTCTGGGTGCTGGAGATAGGAGTACCTGCTGAGTGGTTTTCAGTTAAAGCCTGCGGCTTTGGGGATATGGTTCAGACCTTGGGTCTGTGCTGGAGTAGAGTAGTGTGTCTGGCTCAACAAGACAGGTTCTGGAGTCCCAAGCTGGCAGGGAAAATGGGCTCAGAGGTAGTTTCAGCACATCAGGTGACAGTCCCAAGGGGGTCTCTGTGACCAAACCTGTTAAAACAGGGTATTATTATTATGCACAGGCCTTCCTTTTACAATGTGTGGGACCTGTGTGGTTTTAAGTCCCAAAGAGGAAATTTGAAGCTATGCTTAAAAGTTCCTGGGTAAAAGGCTAGAACATGCCCATTTGTAATGTGATATCTCAGTTCAACTTATTAGTTGCCAATATCTGTAATACAGAAGGGAAAAACTGAGGCTAAGAAGCAGCTGGCCCAAGCAGGTTAAACTCATCCCAGAGACTCAAACCGACCAACTCCAAACCTCACCAGCTCAGAAATCAAACACCCTCTAAGCAGTGTTTTCATTTTATTTGCCAGACTGTGCTTTCATATCAGATCTCTACCATTTTCATTACTAACCCCATAAAACCTTGAACCATGTGGGTCTAGTTTCCAAATGTTACACCACACCTTTACTGAAACATGTTCCATGGTGTCCTTTCTGTGCTCAGCACAGCTTACGGGTACCACATTATTGGCTACCTGCGGGCTTCTTCTTTCCACTTCAAGCACTGCAGCTGGGATAAGCTTTACAAAAAACACGATATGTATCCAAGACAGCTATAGACGCTACAGAGTATGTTGGTTTCACTATAGTCCACTAAGCAGCTGAAGAAGTGGTTTTTTACCCACGAAAGCTTATGCCCAAATAAAGCTGTCTTTAAGGTGCCACCGGACTCCTTGTTGTTTTTAAGTTTACTTTGGTTTTTCACATATGAAATCCCAAAAGAAATCCTTTCAGGACCCATGTATCCTTCTCTGGTTAGTCCATGCTCCTCTTTCTGTATAGAATGCCAGCTCTAAAGGCTGCCTGCCTGTGGGGTCCATGCATTCACATCCCCTCAGCGATAACTTTCCTGTTGTCTATAAAGCTGCAGAACCAAGAGAGAACAGCCTTGTATAATAATTCAGAGGTAGCCATGCGGGTGGGTTTGCTGCTTAAGTTTTAGGTGGCAAGTCAGAAGAATCAGTGTCTCAGCAGAAAACTCATGGATTTTCTCCTCTGCCTGGAAACTGAACTATCCATTCTGCATCCTGTCTGTCTCCCAGCAGAGCATCTGTGTTATGAATATACACGATTATGCATAGGAGTGCATCTCAGGAGATTTATGTAGTCTTCTCAGGCAGTTCCTTGGTTGGGCTCGAGGACTGTGGCTCATCACTCTTGCTATGGGTCGGAGGAGGGGGCCATGTGGTTTTCTGATGAAGATGGCTGGAAACAGAAATCAGATTTCACAAAGGTGTGGGAGAAGAACACATATGGCAACTTAGTATAAAAACAGGATTCTGTGTTAAAGAAAGGGATGGTTTATGAAAAATATAAAGGTCACATGTTCTGCAGGACTAGTTAATTGCCCTGTAAAATTTGCCAGTGCATCTGTTTTGCACACACTCAACAGACGTGCTTGGAGATTTTTAGGATGCAGTTGAGATGGCCAGCTAAAGCTTTAGCCTGAGACAATGAAGCATACATTATTAAGGTCTCAAAAATAAGGCCCTAATTCAGCAAAGCACATAAGCATATGTTTAACTTTAAAGCATGAGAGTATTCCCACTGAAGGGTGTAAGTGATCTGTAGAATTGATACCTAAATACAACCCATGCTGATTGTACTCTGCTGAGTGATAGCTGGAGTGCATCAGAATTAAATGTGTGTGTTTTATATATGTAGTTCTTGGAGCAAGTAATATTCACACCCTCAGCAGGGCTCTATTCATATTGAAGAACCATACAGTCGCCTAGGAAGATGTCGATCAGACAAGTCTTGGAGCCAGAAAACCCTACCTGCCCTGAAGAAAGGCAGGCTATAATACACACAACAGGAACTGGCACTAGAATTTGCCCTGCTCCCTGCTGGAACTCCCTTGCAGGACGAATGGCTTGCCTCGGAAGGAACTCATTTCCCTGACATCAGCATTCTCTGAAGGCTGGGTCTCTCTAGTACGGAAGAAGGAATATGGCCCCTCTCACCTCTGCTGTCTCTGTGTTTTCTTTATTGCCACATCTGTGCCAGTCCATGCACCCCCTGATGTCTACCTATCCCTGTTCTAGTGCATGGGTTCTCTGCCTGTACTTTCAACAGCCAGTCCTATACTAGCACCCCTTGCCTAGTGACTTGGCATTGCGATGCTGCCCACTGGCTCCCTAGAACATAACTTTTATATGGAATATACTTAAGACATGTGACATAAAATCCAGGAGCTGACTACTGCAAAGGCTGTAATGGAGTGTAATTAAGCTGATCTAGTGTTTCAGACTGAACTAGATCAGGAGACGAGATTTGGATGAAGCAGATCTACGTTTCAGAGTGTGAATGAGTGAGCCTGTTACGTTCTATTTCAGGAAGGTGTACGAGGTGTTGCCGCTTGTCTGGATGAAAACGATAAAGGGATACAAAATGAGCAACGTTCAATTTTAGCCATGTTTTCAAAAGAAGCTTTTTAATCTTTTTAACCAGAAAGATCTCAACAATCTACCACAACTGTACGTGGACAGTGTTCTTCTGAAGGCTGAGATGTTTGCAAATACCTCCACCAGAACTAAGCAGAAATTAGAGGCCCAAGCAGACCTGACACTTACTCCTTGTAGTTTAGGTTTCCTTCCCCAGTCAGGCACTCGTCCCAGTTGTATGGCAATACTGCAGACACAGGAACACAGCCACCAGTTAACAAAGGGTCAGAAAACATCATTATTTGTTCCTTAACAGCAATGTACAATGCAACCAGCACTGGGAGCATAGTACCTGCATAAAGGATCTACCTACCCTGCTCACTGGAAATGTTTAGGGACCATCGGCTAAGTTCAGAATTGCTAGGCAAGACAGTTAACTTAAACTCCCACACGCTGAGTTAGAATCCCTTAGCCTGACTTACACCCACTTACCCAGAAGCAGGGGGTCTAAGCTGATAGACCTTCATGCCAAGGACACCTTGCACCTTTCTGTTAGCAGCTTTGCCTGCTAAACTCCTTTTTCCTGGTCCCTCGGTAGGAGTTACACCAATCTGAAGTGCCCTAGACTCCCTCCCCTCCAACTCCGTAGATCAAATTCAGAGATGATCCATACGGAGAGTGAGGTGTAAATTAATTGACCATCAGTAAGCAGGTGTGAATCTAAGAAAGTTTAAGGGAATCTAAACTGATTTAACAGGTAAGGGGTGAAAGTGTAAGTTATACCAACAATAAGTGCCCTGCGTCTAGACTTTCTTAGCTTCAGACTCCCCTCTGAATTTGGGCCTCTACAGCTGCCTCATCACTGAGAAGAGTTATACAAAATTTACCATCCTTTGTGGTGTTAGCGAGAATGGGCTCCAACAATTCTTTAGCTTCTGATATCAACAGGTCCAGGAGATCTGGAGACGGAAGAGACGCATCCGAGATTGCTTCTGTTTTATCCTCCTCTGTCCGACTGTTGACTCTTAAAAATAAAAGCAGATGTGTCAATCTTACCAGAATTAAAATGAGCAGCACAGCAAAAGGACTGACTAGCAACTCAGGAGAGAACCCCCCAGTAAATTACAACGTACTGTGTATTTCATCTCATGCTGCCAGCAACACAGGAGTTTCTCTCTTTTAGATGTATTGGTGTTGTGGTGATGTAATTAGTTAATGCAAGGACACTGTCAAAGAGTTTCAAACAATATTCTCAGTGTATTGGAAATCACCACCTTGGAAACACAAGAACAGCCATACTGGGTCAGATCAACTGTCCATCTAGCTCAGTATTCTGGCTTCCAACAGTGGCCAGTGCCAGAAGCTTCACAGGGAATGAACTGAAAGGGGCAATTATCGAGAGTTCCACCCCTGTCATAGAATCATAGAATATCAGGGTTGGAAGGGACCTCAGGAGGTCATCTAGTCCAACTCCCTGCTCAAAGCAGGACCAATTCCCAACTAAATCATCCCAGCCAGGGCTTTGTCAAGCCTGACCTTAAAAACCTCTAAGGAAGGAGATTCCACCACCTCCCTAGGTAACCTATTCCAGTGCTTCACCACCCTCCTAGTGAAAAAGTTTTTCCTAATATCCAACCTAAACTTCCCCAACTGCAACTTGAGACCATTACTCCTTGTTCTGTCATCAGGAACCACTGAGAACAGTCTAGATCCATCCTCTTTGGAACCCCCTTTCAGGTAGTTGAAAGCAGCTATCAAATCCCCCCTCATTCTTCTCTTCTACAGACTAAACAATCCCAGTTCCCTCAGCCTCTCCTCATAAGTCATGTGCTCCAGCCCCCTAATCATCCAGTCCTAGCTTCTAGCAGTGAGAGGTTTGGGGACATCCAGAGCATAGGGTGGCATCCCTGACCATCTTGGCTAATAGTCATTGATGCCACCTATCCTCCATGAACTTATTCATTGCTTTTTTGAACCTCGTTATACTTCACAACATCCCCTGGCAATGAGTTCCACAGGCTGACTGTGCATTGTGTGAAGAAGTACTTCCTTATGTTTGTTTTAAGCTTGCTGCCTATTAATTTCATTGGGTGACCCTTGTTCTTGTGTTATGTGAAGAGGTAAATAACACTTCCCTATTCACTTTCTCCATGCCATCCATGATTTTATAGGCTTGTATCATATCCTCCCTCAATCGTCTCTAATTTAAGCTGAACAGTCCCAGTCTTTTAAATTTCTCCTCATATGGAAGCTGTTCCATACCCCTAATCATTTTGTTGCCCTTCTCAGCACCTTTTCCAATTCTAATCGATCTTTTTTGAGATGGGACGGCCAGAACTCCACACAGTATTCAAGGTGTTACTCCTGGGGGGATTCTGCGTGACTGCATGCCTGCAGAAAATGCCCCCTCCCCCCCCCCCGCAGATTTCCTATGTATCCCTGCAGAAAACGTCAGGGAAGCAAAGGGAAGCCACATGGAAGGGAGGGAGAGCGGGGCAGGGGGCGATCAGGGGCACACAGGGTTACATGCTGCTGCTGCCCCCCCTCATTCTGCAAGAGCAGAGCTGCCCAACTGAAGGAGGCTCTCTCTGCTCTGCTGACTCTGCAGCTGAACGCCGCCTCCTGGGTCCTAGTGCCAATCATGCTCCCCTTCTGTGTGTGGGGAGCTTTCCTGTTTTCTACTCTGTGCAACAGTGAGTGCTCGGTAAGGGAGGTGGGGGAAATGAGGGAAGATGCAGTGGGGAAAGAAGGACGGGTGGAATAGGGCAGGGGGAGGAGAATGTGGGAGTGAGGGGAGGGGGATGGAGAAGAAAAGGGGATAGGGGAATATTGGGGGGGAAGCAGGATCCCGGCATGCGGCATCCCCTCGGCAGCAGCTGGGGTTCCCCTGTTAAGCAGGTCCATCAAACCCTCACCCTGACAAGCCCTACCTCCCTAAACCTGGACCCCTCCGATGAGCACCCCACACCCAGACCCCCACCCCACTGTTCCCCAACCAGCTGCACCTGGACCCCCACCCCATCAAGCCCCACTCCCCCAGCACCCAGACCCCCCCACAGGCACCCCGGCGCCCCAACCACCTTCACCTGGATGGATCCCCTGCAGAGTTCCATTGCCCCTGCACCCGGAACCCTCCAACAAGCCTCTATGCATCCAGATCTCCCACTGAGCCGCCCGCACCCAGACTGCCCCACACAGAAACCTCTCACACAAACCCCCCAGATCCTCCCACACTAAGCCCCTCCGCACTTGGATCCTGCTGGGCTGAGCCTGCTCACCCACACCTGGTGCATCTGGCGCAGAGGGGCAGGACCCTGGGGTGTTTCTGGGGCAGGCCCAGCTCTTGCACTGTGTCAGGGTCAGGTGCAGCCTCACTGCCAAGTCCCTGTACCGGGGGATGTGGGGGCTTCAGGGTGATCTCCCACCTCAATGAAGTCAGTGGCCAGTGCTCTCCATTGCCATGCTGGAGCCACATTTATTTATTAACAAATAAAATTTGCAGAATTTTGCAGAATTTTAAAATATTGTGTGCAGAATTTTAATTTTTTTGGCGCAGAATTCCCTCAGGAGTAAAGGTGTGGCTGTGCCATGGGTTTATAAAGTGGCATTATGGTAGTCTCATTTTTATTATCTATCCCTTTCCCAATGGTTCCTAACATTCTGTTAGCCTTTTGGGGTATGTCTACAGTACAATTAGACACCTGCAGCTGGCCTGTGCCAGCTGAGTTAGGCTCAGGAGGCTCAGGCTAAGGGGCTGCTTAACTGCGGTGTGCACATTTGGGCTCAGGCTGCAGCCCAAGTTTGGGTCCCTCCCCCCTTCGCAGGGCCCTAGAGCCTGGCTTCAGCCCAAGCCCAGACATCTACACCTCATTTAAACAGACCCTTAGACCGGGAGCCCGAGTCAGCTGGCATGGGCCAGCTGCGGGTTTTTAACTGCAGTGTAGACATAGCTTTTGACTGCTGCTGCACATTGAGCAAATGTTTTCAGAGAACTAGCCACAATGACTCCAAGATCTCTTTCCTGAATGGTAACAGGTAATTTAGAGCCCATCATTTTGTATGTATAGCTGGCTTGGAATTATTTGAAATTGAAATCTACCATCCCCCTGTCACACAAATACTGGTGTATTATTATAAGGTTGCTCATTAGCCCTGGAATGCTGATTTTTTTTTTAAACAATAAAAAATCAGATTTCGGATTCATTTGTTTTGGAAATCAATGCAAAGAATGATATGGGTTTTTCCAACAGATATTAAAAAAGATATGTTCAATTTGTAGGGTAGGGCTACAAACCTTAACAATGTCCCTGTAACCTTTTCAGAGTTAGAGATATACCTCAGTTCATTTGCCAGACTCTCATCAACAAAGATGAATAACAGACAGCATAACTCCCAATTTCAGTAACAGATGATAACCACCCCTCCAACCACCCCTTCTCCCTGACAGCCCCTGGAACCCCTGCCCCCATTCAACCCCCCTGTTCCCTGCCCTCTGACCACCCCGACCCCTATCCACACCCCCAGCCCCTGACCACCCCCCGAACTCACTTGCCCTCTATCCAATCCCCCTCCCCTGCTCCCTGCCACCTTACCGCGCCACCCAGAGCACCTGGACAGGCAGCCATGCCATCCGGCTGGAGCCAGTCATGCACCACGCAGCACAGAGCACCGGGTCAGGCTGGGCTCTGCAGCTGCGCTGCACCAGGAGCTCGTCGCTCAACTGCCCAGAGCATAGTGCCGGTGGCGCAGTGAGCTGAGGCTGTGGGAGAGGGGGAACAGCAGGGAAGGGGCCGGGACGAGCCTCCCAGGCCAGGAGCTATGGGGCCAGGGAGAACAGGCCAGATGTGGCCAGCGGGCCATAGTTTGCCCACCTCTGCTGTTAACACATCAGCCAGACAAAGGTCAAAACAAGGTCATTTTATGCACACATTCACAATTCTCAGAAGCCTTTCCCCACCTTGTCTCATCTGGTAACTGGCTGGGCGTGCTCAGGACTCTGTGAACATTCTGTGGGGGGAAAAAGAAGATCTCAAACTTACAGGATTGACAAATTCAAGAGAACAAACCCCATGCGTTTTTGCTGGGGCTCAGATTTAGTATGACAGTAATCAGCTTCTGTTTATACACTGCCCTTGAAGCTAATATCTCAAGGCCTTTTGCAACAGAAGCAAAACTCGTACCCTATCCAAATATACAGACATAATGTAAATTAATACAGACACTAAAATGTATCAGATGCAAGGTTAAAAAACCCACTCTTAAAGAATAGTTTTTCAGGCTGTACTTCAGAATGCCTGCTATCCCCATTATTCACACTTTGTGCCTTGGTCCTGCTCTTGAATGAATGCCCACTCATGGATGGAGCTGCTAATATGCACAGAAAGAGAATTCCCAAACAGCAGTAAGTAATATATATGAGGAAGACATTCTGGTAGGGTTACCATATTTAAAAAATTAAAAAAAGAGGACACTCCATGGGGCCCTGGCCCCGCCCCCGCCCCTTCACCACCCCCGGCCCCGCCCAACTCCGCCCCTTCCCCGCCCCAACTCCGCCCCTTCCCCAAAGTCCCCGCCCTAACTCCGCCCCCTCCCCTGAGCGCCCTGCATTCCCCCTCCTCCCTCCCAGCCACGCGAAAAGGGCTACCCGAGCGCTACCGGCTTCACGGTTTGCCGGGCAGCCCCCAGACCCTGCGCCCCCAGCCGGCGCTTCCCCAGCGCAGCTGGAGCGCGGGAGGGGAAGCGCCCAGCCAGGGGCGCAGGGTCTGGAGGCTGCACGGCAAACCGTGAAGTCGGTAGCGCTCGGGCTTCGGGCAGCCCCCATGTCTCCGGACCCTGCGCCCCCGGCCGGGCACTTCCCCTCCCGGGCTCCAGCGGCTGCTGTGCTCCCTGAACTCCTGGGCTCTGTAAGCGCCGAGCTGCCCGAGCGCTATCGGCTTCAGGCAGGCCCCATGCCTCTGGACCCTGCGCCCCCGGAGGGAAGTCAGGGAGCACAGCAGCCCCTGGCGCCCGCTCTAAGGTAAGCCAGGGAGTATTTTTCCCGGACATGTTTGACTTTTTGGAAATTCCCCCCGGACGGGGGTTTGATTACCAAAAAGCCGGACATGTCCGGGAAAAAACGGACATATGGTAACCCTACATTCTGGGCTGTTGGTATGTCCCTCCAAGTTCAGTGATGCTTGGAGTCACGGATGGGGACGGAATGGACTAGAAACTCATGCTGAGGCCAATAGGGAGGCTTCTGCATGTTGTGATCTGGACAAGCATTTTGCTGGGCCAGTGACACGCGGGGGCTGCTCAGCCCCTCAGCGTCAGGGGACAGCCTGACTTAGTGAGAGACAAAGAAACTAGTTCAGTTTCAGTTTTGAGCTTTGGGAGCTGAGCAAGAAGAGAACAGCTCAGGGAGCCTGATTCACGAGAGCCAGACAAGAATTCCGCAGGACTCCAGACCATGGAGCCAGGAGAGGGGCAAAGACACTGTAAGAGAATCCTTTGTTTTGTTTAAGCCAGCCAGCATTCACAGCACTGCAGCACCTGTCGCTAGACTTATCCCCGGCATCTCATATTCCTGGGAAGGTGCCAGGGAGAACACTGGACAATTTGTTAGTACTTATTAGTTAACCCTAAGCCTTTGCTTTCCAGATCCTATATTCCTGCTCCCAGTAAAGTGCCCCTTTGTTATGCAGTTATTGTTGGGAGCATCATTTCTTTGCTGGACTTTGTGCTCATGTACTTTGTGTCTTGTGTCTCAGGTTTTATGCTCCTTGCCAGCAGTGGTAACATTATTCAGTTTTCCCAAGTGACAGTACACCTCATATCTCAGGCACCGCAAAGAGTCACCTTGGCTGAAGGCACCAGACATCACAAAAAAGAAGCCAGGGCCCAACCCATTCAAGAAGAGGGATAAGTCACTCCAAGCAGCAAGGAAGAGGCAGAGGCAAATCAGTACTTATATACAGTACAATTAGACACCTGCGGCTGGCCTGTGCCAGCTGAGTTAGGCTCACGAGGCTCCAATATCTAGCATCAATGTCTATATAAGCCACTATCTACTGCTGTAGCTCTATAGTTCTGTAGCCCTACAGAAATCTAATTTCCTCCTTCTCCAGCACAATTGATATAGAATCTGCTCTTCCTTTCTTTTTACTGTTTCCTCAAATGGAATGATTCCCATTGACTTCAATGGACTTTGGTCAGGCCCGTAGCAGGTATGCTGAGTCAAAGACAGCTCCCCCAGGGCTGGCCAGTGTGCCAAGTACATCACATTGCCATTTCAATGTACATTTAGAATGTCAGATTGCTACATGCCATGACAGTGGTGGAAGAGCAAATGAAACGGAGAAAGACATTTTAGCCATGAGTCTAGAGCAGGCCTACAGAAAAGTGTTGGGAGAACAAAATTGATTTTCCAGTTGATATATGACATGTGGTGAGAAAAATGACTAGTCAGTTATCAGAAGGTAAGGTTAAAATGATACCTAACACATAGACTAGATTGTAGTCACAGGCCAATGGCAAAATTCCAGAACCAGCACACAGCCCGAGTAGCTGGGCTGCTTCTTGTGGAAAACCACAGGAGCTGGAGAGGTAAGAATTCCCTCTTACTGGCATGTGGAACAGCACAAAGATACACCTACAGTCAGTGCTGCAGCATCCTTCACAACTCCCTTGTTTCTCCTCCATGGGGGACAACAGTGGGTAGATCCACCAGCCCTGTTCTTCCCCATGATGACATCACAGCATTGCTCTGTGGAGTGGATGCAGACAGCCTGCAAGAAAGAAACTCCATGGTGCTCAGGATGTGGACTTCCTGTGTGGGTTCCCCAGATCCTGTCCCCCTTTCCACAGCAGAACTGCATTGGTTCCACAGGGTCAGTGTTCACTACTGCAGGAAGGGAGAGATGATTTGGCCTCTAGTGTCTACTATACAAGGGCCTTCTGGATTGAGTCAGATGTTATTCTAGGACTTGGGTCTGCACAACGTAGCCTGCGTGTGTTTTTACAGCACCTAATACGATGGGCCCTGATTGAAGCCTTTGGGTGCTACTGTCAGATAAGAGGAGGTTACTTTCCTGTAACTGGAGGTTCTTCAGGATGTGTGGTCCCTATCTGTATTCCATGGAGGGTTCGCACATGCGCACCATGCGCCCGGAGTCAGAGAATTTGAAAGTAGTGTCCATTGGTCTGCGCATGCACCCTGGCTCGCCTCGTGGTTTCACTGAGACTCCAGTTCCCTCTCCACAGCGAACCAAACAGATCCGTACAGAGGGGAAGGAGGGCGGGAAGTGGAATACAGCTAGGGACCACACATATTAAAGAACCTCCAGTTACAGATAAGCAACCACCTCTTCTTGGAGTGATGGTCCCTACTGTATTCCACTGAGGATGATTAACAAGCAGTACCTAAGCCAGAGGAGGGTGTAAGGATGAAGATGGAATGGTCATGCGGAGGATTGCTGCGCCAAAGGAGGCATCTGCCACCGAGTCCTGTACTAAGGCATAGTGCGTTGCAAAGGTGTGCACAGAACTCCACGTGGCTACTCTATATAGGTCCCACAGCGGCCTGTCCTGGAGGGAGGCCAGGATCGAAGCCCGGGCTCTCACGGAATGAGCCCACACCCCAGTGTGGGGAGATAGATCAGACAGTTGGTAGCAAAGTGTAATGCAACCTGAAATTCACTTGGAGATTCTCTGGGTGGAGACTGCCTGCTTTCTGCTACTGGAACAAACAGTCTGGGGGACTTCCTGATGGGTCTTGTCCTCTGCAGGTAGAAGGCTAAGGCCCATCAGTTGTCTAGAGAGTGGAGTCATCATTCCTCTGTAGATGCGTGTGGCTTCAGAAAAAAAAGGTAAGGCTTTGTCTACACTAGCACTCTTGTCAATAAAACTTTGGTCGGTCAGGGGTGTGAAAAAACACCCCCTGACAAACATAAGTTTCACTGAGAAAAGCGCCAGTGTGACAGTGCTGTGTCGGTGGGAGACGCTCTCCTGCCGACATAGCTACTGCCACTCGATTGGGGGTGGTTTAATTATGCCAGCGGGAGAGCAGACATAGAGCGGCTACATGGGAGACCTTACAGCAGCGCAGATGCAGTGGTACAGCTGTGCCGTTGTAAGGTCTGTAGTGTAGACAAAGCCTAAGTAACTGGACTGATGTGAAAGTGGGAGATTACCTTTGGCAAGAATTTGGGATGCAGGTGCAGGGAGACTATCTTTATGGAAAATTGGGAAAGGGGGTCTGCCGTCATGGATCCGAGTTCACCGACCCTTCTCGCAGAAGTGATAGCATCAAGGAAGGCAACTTTCATGGAGAGGGACATAGACCAGGGGTGGGCAAACTTTTTGGCCCGAGGGCCACATCTGGGTATGGAAATTGTATGGCAGGCCATGAATACTAATGAAATTGGGGGTTGGGGTGCAGGAGGGGATGAGGGCTCCGGCTGGGGGTGCAGGCTCTGGGGTGGGGCTGGGGATGAGGGGTTTGGGGTGCAGGATGGTGCTCCGGGCTGGGACCAAGGGGTTCAGAGGGTGGAGGGGGATCAGGGCTGGGGCAGGGGGTTGGGGTGTGGGAAGAGGTCATGGGTGCAGGCTCCAGGCGGTGCTTACCTCAAGCAGCTCCCAAAAGCAGTGACATGTCCCTCCTCTGGCAGAGGTGCAGCCAGGCGGCTCTGCGCACTGCCCTGTCCACAGGCACCACCCCTGCAGCTCCTGGAAGCACTGTCGTCCCCACTCCGGCTCCTATGCGGAGGCGCGGCTAGGCAGCTCTGCGCGATGCCCCATCCGCAGGCGCCGCCCCTGCAGCTCCCATTGGCCGTGGTTCCCGGCCAATGGGAGCTGCAGGGCAATGCTTGGGGTGGGGGCAGCGTGTGGAGCCCCTGGGCTGCCCCTATGCATAGAAGCAGGAGGGGGGACATGCCACTGCTTCCAGGAACCGCGCGGAGCCATGGTACGCGCGGAGCGGGGCAAGCCCCCAACCCCGCTCACCAGCAGGAGCTCGAGGGCCGGATTAA